AAATTAATTAGTATATCTTGATGGATTTGTTTTAGAACAATAAAAGAAGAAGTAGGAATCCCTACACTCAGGAAGAAAAGTCTTAACACTTATCAGATGAAGAAAAACCAATTAATACAGGTAACTTTAATAGCTCACTCCCATGACTGGCCCAGAGAAATTAAATGCATTTAGAATGCTGCCACAGAGTTACAGTTGTAGTAAGAGTCCAGTTTTCAGGGTCGGCAGGTGGTGTGGTGGTTAAGGGCACTGGACTCTCACATGGTTGACAGCGGCTTGAGTCCCGGACCTGGCTGCTTGCACTCTCTGGTCAAAATTGAAAAATAATGATAATTGGGACCAGCAGTTGGCGTAATGGCTATGTTGTTGGACTCTCATGTAGTCAACCGTGGTTCGAGTCCCAGATTCGGTGGCATAAACTCACGCCTGGCGCGTGTGCATTCGTGTCCAAGATCCTAGGAGGAGAATGGAGGACAAGGGACTGCAGTATGGCTATCTTCCCTAGGGGTGTGATTTCTCACTTTCTGTCTCTCTGTTTCTCTCTTTCTGGCAAGTGCACACACCTTATAGCAAAAACCTTTTAAAAAATGATAATAAATATTATTTTAAAAAGTTTAGTTTTCAAAGTATCTTTTTATTTATTTACTTATTTATTTATTTATTTATTTTAAAGCCTACAGCACCTGGTATTCCCAGGTGGTCTCCCATCCAAGTACTAACCAGGCCCAACCCTGCTTACCTTCCGAGATTTTATTTATTTATTTATATCTTTCATAGAACAGAAACACAGAGAGTGAGAAACAGACGCATACAGGGTCTCACGCTGAGGTCCACTGCCAGCCTCAGCCAACCCGGATTACAAGCCCTTCCCACACGGCTCTGCATCACACAGCGCTGCAGTATCCCTACACCACCATGGATGCCCAGAGCATCTTCCAATCTCAGGTGGTCTCACTTCATTGCTATTCTACAAGGTAAGCAAAGAAAGTAAAAGCATTCCCATTTCATAGAAGAAAAAACTGAGGTTACATTGTAGGTTTAGATTCGTCTAGATACCAACGTGACAGACTGGGCCAGACACTGGTGCAGAAATTAAAGGGGGTCCCGCGCTACAAGGCTGACCCAGTAGAAAGGTTCCAGGTTCACATCTAGAAGCCTCCCTGAATGCACTGAGCATGCACCTGTCCATGACCTGGGCTGGCTGAGGCTGGAGCCAGAATGCAGTGTCAAGACTCTACTGGGATACTGTATCTATCACTTTATCTCTCTCTCTGTGCCTCTTTGTCTCTCTGTGTCACTTCTCCTTTATAGAAAAAAGAAAGAAATGGGGCCAGCAGGTGGCATGGTGGATAAGGGCACTGGATCCCCACATGGCCAACCATGGTTTGAGTCCTAGACCTGGAGGCTTGCTTTCTCGCTTTCTCCTCCTCTCTTTCTCTGTCTAGTCAAATTAAAATAATAATGAACGAAATTAAATAAATAATTCTTTAAAGGAAAAAAGAAGAAAGAAAACCTTAAAGTGACAGACCCACCCGGAGCCCGGGGGTACTGTTTCTTGGCTGGTCCTCTTTACCACATGACGACTGAACGTAAGGAGCCCACTGCAGTGATAAAGGGACAAAAGCAACTCTCAGAAAAACCAGACTCCAGTTAAACTAGTTGAAATCAAACATTCATTTCCTGGACATACCAAACATTTGCTAAGCAAGAGAGAGAGAAGCAAACAGGAGTGGGAAAACAAACAAACAGTGTAAGGTAGCAGCTGAAGTTTTCAACCAAGACAGACTAAATAGAAATCACCAAAAATGCTCACAGGTCAGTCACTGATGTGGTGGTGAAGGCAGCTGGATACCACATGGCTAACTGCAGTTCGAGTCCTGGACCCAGTGGCTTAAAAATAACGCCATGCATATGTGCATTTGAGCCCAAGATCACAAGAGACAGGATTGTGGTGTGGCCATCCCCCTGTGGGAGGGAGTGACTTCTTACTTTCTATCTCTGTCTCTGTCTCTCTCCAGCGAGTACACACACCTATGGCAAATACCTATTAAATACCTATTTTTTTAATTTAAAAAAATTGTTTTTTTAATCACGTTTCCTTAAGCAAGCCTTTTAATCACGTGATAGTTTATATATATACCACCAAACCTGAAATAAAAATGAATCATGTAAAAATGTGTTTTTCTTACTAGCAAACATTTAACACACTTACCATGTATAGATTGCTTATATCATATGCCATAAGGATGCACAAGGACTTCATGAAGAAGCTTTGAACATACAGTCTATGCCATTACTCTTATTTAGAGAATACCACCCATCAGTGGAGCACCTCTAACACAGAGAATACTCTACGAATGGGGTATTCTTATTTCAGCATATAATTTTCTTTTCAGTTTTTTTATTTATGACAAAATGACTAAGTACTTTTGAGCTATGACTCCAGAAACTTATTTCCCATAGCTTTACTGTGATTTCATACTTTGTTTTAGAACTCCACTTACATGAACTCTTTTCGTGTTTGGGTTAAGGGCAGTTTGCTAATCTTACCTTTGATGCTTGAGTTCTGGAGCCCAAATAGTGCAATCTGGCACATTCCCGAATGTAAGTAGGAGCCTGGGAAGGACAAAAGAAAAAAGCCAAGACCTAGTGGTTAGAGAAGATCTGAAATTCCTTCAGGCTGCAAGGACAAAAGATAGCTAAACAAAGCTGACGGGAAAACTGGGAGAAGACGCTAATAGATTTATTTTTTTATTTTGAATTGGATTTATTTTTTTTAATTTAAATTTATTTATTTACATTCATTTACTATACATCATTATAGCATACAAAATGAGATTTGTCCATCCAGAGTACACAGTATATTGGCTCAGTCAAGCACATCAACATACATGTTATCATCAACAATAATTTTCCATTTCTCGTTTCCTGTATATTTTGCTTTTTTCCCCACCCTCTGCCATCTCCCACTCTTCTCCCACACTGTCTCTGGTATCCATGGTTGCTTTCTATGCCTACTCCCCCCCCACACACACATTTTATTGATTCACTAAAGATCTTAATTAATCTAAATATTTTCAATAGCAAACACAGCTAATACATACATATCCATGAACACAAGGCTGACTTTAGGCATAAACCTCAGTGAGTAGAATAAACATACTATAAAGTAGCCCCTAAATATTTGTTTTAAAAATTAAATATGGCAGGCCAGCAGATGGCATGGTGTTTGGGGCACTAGACTCCCACATGGCTGACCATGGTTCAAGTCCTAGACCTGGCAGTTTGCTTTTTCACTTTCTTACTCTCTCTCTCTCTCTCTCGCCCATGTGCCCTATAGAAAATTTTTTAAAAATAATAATTAGTAAAATTAAATAAATAATTTTTTTTTTTTCATTGAATATGGTAGGCTAGCAGGTGCCATGGTGGTTAAGGTGCTAGATTCTAAATTAGCCAACCATGGCTCAAGTTCTGGGCTCAGTGGCTTGAAAATCACACTGGGCACATGTTCAAGCATGTGTGCCCCAAGTCCCAAGAAAAGACTGGAGGAAAAGTGACTACAGAGCGACCATCCTCCTGGGGGATGATTTCCCACTTTCCCTCTCTCTGCCTTTCTCCATTAAACACACATCCTATGACAAAAAACTTTTTAAAAAAGGCATATACTATACATTCAAATAAGCCACAAACAAAAATACAGATATTTGCTGTAATGTTTCTATTTGACAAAAACTGCCCCTAAAATCCTTACAAATTGCAAATGATCTGATCACATTATAGAATTGTATAAAAAAATGCCATTTCAGATTACTATGGGGTTGAATTCTGTGACTAATCTCTTGCTAAAGTCTTAGTCGAAGTGTAAAATAATACAACCACTATGGAGGAGAGTTTAGCAATATCTAATAAAATTATGTTTGCATGTACAATTTAACTGAGAATCTCACTTCTGCGAATCCATCCTAAAGACTCCAAAATACAATACACATTTGCATAAAATTAATCAGAAGATTGGGCACAACCAAAATGTTCAGTGATGGCAAACTGGTTGGATGAACAGGGCTACATCTATACAGTGTAGGACGGCAGTGCAGGAAAGAAGGGAGGGAGGGAGGGAGATTTACCAAGTCACACAGAAGGGGTTCTAGGAGAAAAATAAGATACAAAACAAAATGTAAAATACTTCTCTAAGGAAAAATAAAGAGAAAGAACATACAAATTTACATATATAATACATGTATTTATTTTTACAAAAAGAAACACAAAGGATACAATAAGAGGATAAACTAAAAAATAATTACAATGGTCGGGACCAGCAGTTGGCGTAATGGTTATATCGCTGGGCTCCCATGTAGTCGACTGCATTCGAGTCACAGATCTGGTGGCTTAAACTCATGCCAGGTGTGTGTGCATGTGTGCTCAAGATCCCGAGAGGAGAATAGAGGAGAAGGGATTGTGACGTGGCCATCCCCCCTGGGGAGTGATTTCTCGCTTTCTGTCTCTCCATCTCTCTCTGTCTTTCTGGCGAGCCCACGTGCCCTATAGCAAAAACCCCCCAAAAATAAATAATAAATAAGTCAATGGCAATGGAAAGAAGGGAGACTTCTCTAAGTACACCTCTTCATGCAGTTTTGAGCCATGTAAATACAATACAGGTTCAAATAATAAACTTAAATCCTAAAGGAAAAATGTGGACTCTAAAACTGAACAGTAATAAGGGGAAAAAAAGGCGGGCCAGCCCTGTAGTACAGTGGTTAAGTGCTATGTGGAGGGAACAGAACCCACATAGCTAACTGGGGCTTGAATCCAGGCCCCTGCGGCTTGATAAACATACTAAGCACATGTGTATGTATGCACACTCCAAATCCTGACAGGATGGAGAAAGGAGAAAAGATGCCCCATTGGGAGGTGCTCTCATTCCCTTTCTCTCTCTCTCTCTCTCTCTCTCTCTGTGTCTCTCTCCTCTCCTTGCACCCGCTGGCATTAAAAGAAAAAAGAAAGCAATGAAAATATCTGTCTATCAGATTGATAACACAAGCACAGAAAAAGGAATTTATTTCATATAACTCAGAAAATTTCTACTCCAACATACATCTTCAGCAGGGTATATTCAGGAGAAAAAGAACTGCAAAAAAAAATCTTAAACTTTAATCAACAAGTATATGCAGGTTTTACTATTAGTACTAATCCTGAATTATTTTTAAACTAACTGAAATATATTGTAGAATAAAACAGATAATAAATGGAACCAGCAGCTGGCATAATGGTTACATAACTGGACTCCCACGTAGTCAACCGTGGTTCAAGTCCCAGACCCAGCGGCTTGAAACTCATGCTGGACTGGACGCATGTGCATGCATGCCCAAGATCCTGAGAGGAGACTAGAGGAGAAGGGATTGCAGCATGGCCTTCTTCCGTGGGGGTGATTTCTCGCTTTCTGTCTGTCTCTCTCTCTGGTGAGAACACACATCCTATAGCAAACACCTCTCTAAAAAAAACAGATAATACATGTAAATGCTATTATAATCTGGAACATATAGTGTAAGAAGTAAAAGTTACAAATATGAAGTAAAAGCCAAGAAAATTCTCTGTAATATTAAATTAGTGGATATTAATATGAAGTTATGGTTTCTTTTCCTTTTTTAGTTTTTGTTATAAGGCACTAGAGAGACAGAAGCAGAAAAAGTGAGCAATTACCCCCTGGGAGGATAGCCATGCTGCAATCCCTTCTCCTCTAGGGATTTTACACACACACACACACACACACACACACACACACACACACACACACACACCCAGCATGAGCTTTAAGCTGCCGGATTTTGAACCATAGTCAACTACATGGGAGCCCAAAGACATAACCATTATGCTATATGCTGGTCCCTCATGATTTCTTTTTTAAAGAAATCTTTTGTCTTCAAAGAGCCTAGAAGCAATCATATCCCAGAAATAATGAATAGATCCGGTGCCACTCATAAAAACCAGGGCTCCTTGGAGAAACTCACAGATCCAGATCCAGGGCAGAGTAAGCACAAAGTGGATTGGGGACATTTATGACAGAAGGGAAGCGCTCGAAGACTACTGGAGGGCCGGGAACTAGCAGTTAGCGTAATGGCTATGTCGCTGGACTCCCATGTAGTCGACCGCGGTTCATGTCCCAGAGCCGGTGGCTTAAAACTCACACTGGGCGCGTGTGCGTGTGTGCGCAAGATCCCGAGAGGAGAATGGAGGAGAAGGGATTGCGGCATGGCTATCCCCCCGGGGGGTGATTTCTCGCTTTCTGTCTCCATGTCTCTCTCTGTCTGTCTGGCAAGTGCACGCGCCCTATAGCGAAAACCTCTCCTAAATAGATAGATAGATAGATAGATAGATAGATAGATAAATAAATAAATAAATACATACATACAGACTACTAGAGGGCCAGCAGGTGGCATGGCGGCTATATGGCTGACTATATGGCTTGATTCTGGATCCCACGCCTTGGGAAACATGCCACACAATTGTGTGTGCATGCCCAGAATTCCAAGAGGGGAATGAAGGACAAAGGACTGTGAGTCCCTGAGGGTGATTTCTCACTCCCTCTGCCCCACTGTCTGTCTCTGTCTCTCTGTCTCTCTCTCTCTGGCGAGCACACATGCCCTATAGCAAAAAAAAAAAAAGACTAATAGAGTCAAATGAAAAATACGCAGAAGCCAGCTTACAGGGGCTGGACGATTCGAATATCAAAATTAAGAACTTAAAAACAATTAATAAGTTAAATAGACTAACATATTGAATATATAAAAATCGCTAAGTCTACAGTCATACTCACAAAAGAGAGAATGAGACAGAGAAAGGGAAAGTTGCTTTCCAAGTAAGAGCAAAATAAATGACAAAATTAGAAAATCACTATTTTATAATACAATAATATAATGAAAGATTGCAGCAGGATCATAAATTTAAAAAGATACTGCACTAGGTAATCACTCTGCAGGTTACTTACTAACTGCAAGGAGAAAATGTACCTTTACAATTGAGAGATTTGGCACTTTGCAAAACTCACATGACTAAGAGTGAGAAGGCCTAACATCTGTGCCTAAGGTGACACAATACGAAAGATACAAACATCACTATAAAGTATCTTTGCCAAAATGTTTACCCAGATTTTCATTAAGACTTCTAGTTTGCAGGGACTACATGGAAAGGTGTAGGGGGGTAAGTTCAATGGGCCGAGAAAACACTAAGACAACACAGCTGCCTTGACTGCTTCAACAAATCTATGACATGAGAAAAAAGCATAATGACTAAGAAAACGGCCTAATGATTCATTTTCAGGAACAGTTTAACAAAAGCTGCCTAACCAGCTTGCAGATGTGACAGTCCCGGAAAGTACACCTTCCCGGCAAGTTCCTGAACCAGTGAAACCCAAAAACAAACAGGCTGCCCTTGAGAATGACTTCTCAAGATGGTGGCTGGTCACCAGCCCTTCATTCCTCTTTACTTCCTGGCTCTTCTCCCGCCTCAGGGCATTTGGCAGGCCCTTCTATGGGCTTGTCCTGAGCTTGCGCCCTTCCACCAGACAAGAGAGGGAATGGGACGGTACGTGCCTCGCAGGGAATGCTGAAGCTTAGGCCACG